ATATATACATGTGCCTACAGATGACACCCCATTTTCCAGTTGAACAGTCGGCTGAGACATAGGACATTGAAAAGCCCCGCGGTTTTTCGGAGTTTCTCTTGGAAATCACGGTCGGCATGACCTTTGCCGTCATTACGGCACTTGCGGGGATGGCTTCACTTATCACATAAACCAGTGAATTTGCGAGAAATAGATCGCGTGATGTGGTTAGCCTTGATCGGCCTGATCAGTATCATCGCTTTTCAATGGTGCACTTTTCGCGCCAAAGGAGTGCTGGTTCTCGTTTGGAGAGCTCGTCGTCTGACATAGGATCAATCGCTCAAAGATTCATATTGTCTGTGAAAAAGTACAGATCAGGATGGTGTACAACATGAAAAAGGAAGAGGGAAAGAATTGCTCACTTTGGTCACTCCCCTCGAGATGTGTATCTACCACAGTTTCCATAGAATCATAGTTTGGAATAAAGGGAATACGTGGTCTCTTACTCATTGTGAGTCGAAAAATTTCACAAGTCGTGATAATCCAGTCACAGCGGAGAATGTGTTAATCTTCGTTCTTCTCAAATACTAACAAAATGGCACTATCTTTGGTCAGTCATTGTCACTGCACTTACCACCAATTTTTTTCAAGCTACTTTAACATACCGTATTATCCTGTGAAACATACCAAAACGTTGAGACTACATCGTATATACCGGGTGAGTTAGAAACTGAGAACATTCTTAGCCTTTTATCAGCCTTTATCTGTTATTATCATCTTCCGTAATCCGGTGTTTGCACTCCAATCACACCCTATATCACATACTGAGGTAGCTATGCTTAGCTGTCGTACTAAAAGAAGATTCAGATGCAAATATCAACGCTTACGTTGTGCTTTATCCTGTCGCCAACCGTCCTCGATCCCGACCAACTCCTTATCACACTTCAAAGTATCACTTCTCTATTGTCAGCGAAAGAGTCTCCAGTGACTCCTGCCTTTTACAGCTCCTTAAAATCTCTTACCATCGTCTTCGTCACCAACTACTACTACGTCGACAATCCCACATCACCCGGCGAGAGGCCAAGGTTTCACTGTTAACGCAAATTTCGTAACGGATCCTTTGGCTCCTGCCTTTCATTAATGTTATCAGTCCATATCATTCTCATCACTGCCCACCCTGTATACCTTTTACGGGGGCTATGAATTACTAGTCAACCGAACCTACACACACAGACGAATCGGCAAACAAACTTAACAAATTTTATCTGGTGCGAATCCTGCTCAATCAAGCTCCAAGGCTCCTTTTTAAATAATACCCTGAACCCGCTTTCACTTATAAGGAGTTCGAACAACATTGTGGAAGAATATTTATTGCTAGTGCTTCCTGAGAGGGGAGGAGTGAAATACACCGTTGAATGCTTAACGGCGAGTTCCATCTTCGAAGAAAACTCCGCCATCGATGGCACAGTACTTGGGGCAGATTCCTGGTTCTCCAGGTCCTCCGGGCTGTCCTGATTGTCCTGGTGCACCTGGGTTTCCATCGGCTCCAGGCTGTCCATTTGGTCCATTGGGTCCTTTGGGTCCGGGTTGTCCTGAAACGAATAGAGTTTGTGAAATTTGAAGTCAAAAAAATCATTATTTCCATAAACTCTAATACTCTCATAAACTCTAGCACTCACCAGCTGGGCCGGGTTGTCCAGGTTGTCCGTTGGGTCCAGGTGGTCCTTGAGGTCCAGCACTTCCAGCTGGTCCAGGTTCTCCGGGGACGAGTGGAGTCGAAACAGCGGGTGCTCCAGGCTGTCCTGGTGCACCAGGGGCTCCTGGATTTCCATTAGGTCCAGGTGGTCCCTTTGGACCAGGCTGACCAGGTTGGGCATCATTTCCTGGAGCTCCAGGTTGTCCGTTTGGTCCAGCATCTCCATCAGGTCCAGGTGGTCCTGGAGGTCCAGGAGGTCCTTGTGGGCATGGCTTGCATGGAGGAGGTGTGACAGGGTCGCATGGCTGCTGTGGTGGGCGTCCTGGGTTACCTGGAAGTCCAGGTGCACCGGGCTTACCTGGGCGACCAGGCTGTCCAGGGGTTCCAGCTGGTCCAGCGGCTCCTGGTAGACAGCAAGAGTC